TCAAGGAAAACTGCCCAGATGAGTCTCTACACGATGGGCTCTGGTGGACGTTGGATCTCATGGGCAGGATCCTTATCCGAACCCTGGCAGAAGGCTCCACGCCAGTGATCATCGCCATCAACAGGAACACATCCAAGTCTATGAAGCTGGCTGTGGCAAACTATCCGCGTGGAGAGCGCGAGGTGATCTTGCTGACGGTCCAGGTGGGCACCGAATCGATGTCTCCTTTGATTTGGGCAGTGGAGAAAGGAGCATTGGAGTCTGCGAGGGAGATCCTCAATGATTTGCTCACCTTGCGTGCGGACCGTGCCCGCTACTACTACGGAATGGAGATGCTGTTCACCCGCCACTCGGACATCATCAGCCTGCTTTGCACCAAGGCGCCGTCTCTCCTGCCGACGGTTTTTGATGGACTCATCTGGCGGTCCAAGAATGTGAAGAACGGCATGCGGCGTGCAAACTACTACATCGCGTCCTTGCTCAGAGGCGAAGATGGCCAGCTGACAGATTCCCTCCTGGACTTGATCAAGCAAGCAGACCCCGAAATCATTTGTCATCCCACGGTAGTCTTTCAGGCCGATCTTCTCTGGACTCGGCTTTGTTGCTTGCCATGGGCTTTGACAAAGCTGTGGTTCTGTGCCACCCTCGTGGTCTACGTCATGGCAGAGCAGCAAGCTGTGACTTCGAGCGATCCCTTGAGTCAGGAGCGGTTCACCACCATTGTCTGCCGGGCGTTCTTGTACATCGGCAGCCTGGGGCAGCTCTTCGCCAAGCATGCCTACCAGACATACAGGGCAGTACGACAGAAGCAGATGACGCGCCTCTGCTGCTTGCCGGTGCCGAAGTACGTGCTGCAAACGCGCCAAGAGTTGACCGAAGTTGCGCTCATGCTGCTCCTGATGTGTCTGCGGCTTGGACATCTAAATTAAGGACTGTTCTGGTATACTGCGGTGAAGAAGTGTGAGTTGCAAATGCACCGAGGTTGTGTTGCGAGCCAGTGCTCCACTGCCTTGCTGTTAGCAGCGAGCTGCTGACAAACTGCTGCGAGCACGGGGAATGGCAATGCAATCTGATCCAAGTTTACAACCGCCTCGCCACCTTTCCCATGGTCCTCTACTTCGTTCTTACCTCCGAGTTGGTGCACCTGAATGTCAGTCTCTCCGTCTTCAGCGTGATCTGCTCGTGCCTCATGTGGGAGTTCCTCCTGTATGTAGCAGTCATGGCATTCTTCGCTGCGGCTTTTGCATCGGCAATTGCTTGCTTGCCTCAAGCTCTGGCCGCTGATTCGGTTCACGAGCGGGACTTCTCCAGTTGGCCCCTGGCGTTTGAGTCTTTGCTGTCCTCTGCCTTCAATGTCTATGACAGTGACAACTACGAGCAAATCGCGGTCGCAGATGAACCGATGCTGAAATGGTTTGTCATGGCCTTCGCCGCATGCTGGCATGTGTACCTCATGAACCTCATGGTGGCACAGCTTTGCCAACGCTACAACGACATCTACCACGACGCACGGGGCAACGCTCGCCTGACGCGTGGAATCAACATCTATGAGACCTCCATGCCCCTGATTTCCAAGAAACGTTGGACAGCCTTTGTGGAGTCCTTGCACTTGGGCGAGGCTTGCGAGCTCGATGAGGGCGACACCGGGCCCCGTGGTGCAGTGCCGACTACCGAGAGCCCGTACGACTACTTGCAGTATCCCAAGGTGACGCTGGATCGCGTTCAGCGCTACGGTGGCCTTGCGCATCCAAGGCTGCCGTGGCCATCCCTCGATGAGGCTGTGGACGACAGCGCCGTCGGCAAGTTAACGCGGATGACGCAATCCAAGTTCGAGGACCTGACATTCCGCACATCCGCTCAATCCTTGCAACCCTGTACTTCGCAACCCCTTGCCTTGCCTGCAGCCTCAAGCGTTCACCCAAACCAGACAAGCCCCAGAAGATTTCTCGCGAGGAGATGGACAGGCTCATGGTGGACATGGCCATCAAACTCCAGGTTCGTCCTCCAGGGACCTCGGGTGGCACCCAGGACTACTCCACGATGCATTCCGAGAAGCGCAGCTGGACGGATGTTTCGCACGTGTTTGAATTTCGGCGGTGCTTTCTGAGCAGAGCTCATGTAAGATATGTTGGATTTGGAGTGAATGGGCGAAACATGGAGTGAACAAACATGTGTCTTGCCCTAAATCCTGGAGCCAGGCGATGATGAAAGCAAGATTGCTGAATCTGTTGATGATCACGAGCATGGCATCGGCATGAAGGAAACCGACGTCTCAGAGGAGTTGGCCGTGAACGAGAAAACCAGGCACCTCGGTGAGAAGTGAGTCTCCGAACACTGTTGAGGCCCTGGCAGTTTTCAACCCTGAGCTGAAATCATCAGGGTTTCTCAGTCTCTGCGGAATATTTAGCCCCAGTACCAGTACCATAAATAGCATCATCACCATCACCATTGTCACCTGCGTCACCATCACTAATGCCACAATTTTCATTTGAGATCTGTCGGAAGAGTCCCCTGTTCAGTTTGTTGCTGATTTGTCCATTCGTGCGCATATCGCAATGCGATTATATTGATTTGGTTCGGCTGCTGTATGTTGTTATCACCTCATTTCTCGTACTGTTTTTGCCCTAGAAGACCTTTGTTGACCCCTTTTGTTGACAAATGCCTGTGTATTGAGAATTGGGATGGCTCAAGTTAGTGACCTGGCATGCTGTTTATATTTTGTACTGCCTTGACATACCTTGGCTGTTCCTTACAATGCTTCGTCACTTCGTCGTCGTAGTTGTTGCAGGGGTAGTAGTAACAGTAGTCGTGGCAGTCCTCTTAGTAGTAATAGTGAAGTAGTACTAGCAGCAGCAGTAGTACTTTTACGAGCAGTAGTAGTAGTAGTAGTAGTAGTAGGAGGCGCCCCCCCCCGCCTGCCAACTACCTCTGCTGCCAACCCTCTTAAGAGCACGTT